GGCTCGAACTCACGGACTGCAAAATCATGACCCGAGCCACAGTCGGACACCCAACCGACTGAGCCACCCAGGCGCCCCAATTTTAACACTATTTTAAATGTCATTTTGCTTTCATCCTTTTACATTCCATATATATGAAGCCTGTGCCCTCAAGAGTCACAGAAATCTAGGTACCTCTTTCCCACCCACTCCCCAGAGCCACCCTACCTTTTTATCTCTTTGGCCTGACCCAGTTTTCCCCACCAGAGTCACTAATCATTGCACTGTCCTTACTCTAGCCATGGTCTCTCCTCCTACCATTCTCTTTCCTCGGTAACCTCTTCTCAATGGCCATTTCTAGACATTATGCCAATCAGAACGTTCATTTTCTTTTCATAAATGGCCAACAGATAGGTTCAAATATTTGACTCTTCTGGACTGATTTTGTCTCTTCCTCAAATGGCCAAAGACTTTTTGTTCTATTTCTCAAGAGCCAAAGCATCTGGTCTTAGCTTTTGTAATATGAAAATATTCTTTGGGATAATATCTACCTTGTAATCATCTTTTGAGTAAGATAAAATATAATAACCACAGAGGTCAAGTGACATAAACTTCCCTAACTTTGGACTATCTGAAATATTTTAACGAACAATTTTAAAAGCCTAACCGAGCCTACTATCCATTATTCCTTATCTGTAAATATTTGGAAAGACCTTTGGCTTCTCTTGCAAAGAGGATCCACTTATATCATCCTTACAGAGGAATGTGGTTTCCTTCTTGAACCACCAGCCCTCTTTCTAATCTAAAGTGCCCATCCCCCTCCTAGAGATATATTTCTCATTCCTAGGACAGTTCCATCTCTATATTGAAAACTGGCCAACTCTTCACTTCAAATATCCCTGACTCTTTACACTCTTCCAAAACACCACAGGTTACAATACAATTTCCCATTCCCTATTTTCTTCCTCTGTGCCCTTGCCTGCATTTTAGTAGATCACTGCTGTTACTTAAACTAGATTAAGACACAAGATTAATCCAGCCCCTCAGAACAATATTTGAAAAAAGTCCTTATTTCTAAGCTCGCTTTGCAAATCATTGTAAAGATAAAGAGAACAGAAAGGGTTTTCTTTAGCCCTGAATAAGCAAACCACGTATTAGTTAAAGGTTTATAGAGGTGGTTATTGAATACTTGAGACAGTTTTCTAACAAGTGCCTTTTACCATGACTATTCTATATGTGGAAAATGGGGAGCACTCCAACCTCACAGAGTTGCTATAATCAGCATCACCCTTAGGTCCAGGAATTTTAGAAGGCCCCATGCCTTTAGGGCCCAGCTCTGGCCTTCCTCTGGCTATACCCCTCCCTATGGGACAGGATGTTTATGGGAACAAGACAATCTGTCCATCTAGAGCCCATGCTCCTCAGGCTCCCACCCCAGACTGATGTTACACTGCAGAATTCCCTAAAAAAATGGCTTTGAATGCAGTACTAGGGCCTTCATGAGGTCTCTTCCCCAGGTCCATCCTCCCAGGGGTTGACAGTGCTCCAAGCCAATATCTACCACAGGGCCAAAGCAGTTGCCAAGTGATGGCTGTTTGCTGGAAGTAGAGGTAATAGGTATAAGGGAGCTTGAACTTGAGGGCCAGGGTACCCTTATATATAAGGCACGTCACCATTTGGGATGGAATTGGGGGTAGGAAGAAAGCAGCAAGTGATGTTGAGGCCAGGGGCCAGCAGCTAGCTCTTTTTGAACCAGTGTCCCCACTGCAGTCTAATAAGTCTAAATTTGAACTTGGTCTTCCAAGTTGTCATGAAGGTATTTTGTCAAGGTAGGAAAATGGAACATATTTATTTAACAGCTTATTTGCTTGATTTATAAATTAAACTATTTAGGAGCACCTGGGTGGCTCAGTCAGTTAAGTGGCCAACCCTTGATCTTTGCTCAGGTTATGATCTTG